AGCAGTCCGTCTCCTCTTCATGAAAGAATAAGGCTCTGAATTGATTGTACCTTTATCACCACCTTCTCAAGGCCGGCTAGTTGGAGAAGGGGTACGGCAGTTGAGCTTCACCCTTACATCTTACATTCTCTTCTTGTTTGCCAGTATATTTTAGTGGAGGACTGCCCCATCCGTCGTGACACTTAGCCCATTTTTCTACCTTGTATATTACAGCAAAATCTCCAGTCCAGATATTTCTCTTCAAACTCTCGTCTATCAGACAACTAATTCGCGACAGAATTACCTCCCTTGGTGCATAGCATCGGTGATGGCATCCATAGCTTCACTACTCAACCCTGAACCGGAAGTGTTAGTGCAAGGCTATAAACTCTTAGCGCCATGTGCCAATCGTAACCCAAGAGTTGTACCGTCAGTTCCACCCAGAGAGAAGAAGCAAAAGGTGTCGAAAGATGCCCCTATATTTACGCGGGGGATACCCAGGGGTCAGGTCAGATATCCTCCATGCGAATATCAGGACGAGAGGCTAGCGGCAGAACACCGATTATTCAAGATACATCCCATGGGCCAAATCACCGAATTTCCGAGGCACATACCTTACAATAGTGAGAAAAAATCTTTTCTAGAAAAGACAGGAAGAGAAAGCTTTGAAGGTGAGAGACCAATATTTCCGGTGTTTTACAATCTCAGCTGATATACCTAGTCTTTCAATACACATTCGAAATTCCTGGAGACGAGAAATCGTATACCGTGATGTGGGATTATAACATTGGACTTGTTCGAACAACTTCGCTATTCCATTGCAACAACTATAAAAAGGTAAGTTTAGTTTTCATGCCGCAGTACTGCACCTAACATCTAGTCACTAAACACTAGCTACAGACTGCCCCATCGAAAATGTTGAATGCAAACCCGGGACTGAGGGATATATGCCACAGCATAACTGGAGGAGCACTTGCTGCACAAGGTATATTTTAAACTCCAGTCTAACATCTCTCAAATAATTTATAGCTAACTCCGGTTAGGGTACTGGATGCCGTTTGAAGCAGCCAAAGCCGTTGCGGCTACGTTTTGTTGGAAAATTCGCTATGCGCTAACCCCGTTATTCGGAGTCGAATTCCTATCGAGTTGCCTGCCTCTAGACGATGCAAGATTCGGGCGAATGATCATCGACCCTATGATCGTCAGATCGGCGACGGCTACCTCGAATCAATACCGGGAACAAGAACTGAGTAGACGCCGCATGGCCCAACGCACGAGCTCAGAAAGTGGGTACTGCTCCATTACAGCGAAGAAGTCTACCCAGTCGCTGACTTTCAAAGGATCACCAGCTACCTCTCAACCCAATCGTGAATCTCATGACGAATCTACTGTGATGGATATAGATGATAATGAACACCACCGGCGACAGCATCTCTATCACCACCATTATTCTCCCGTCATGGGCTCAAGTAGTGGATGGATGCCCGCAAATATCCCCAGGAGTACACAAACATTGAAACATGAGGTCTCAGTCTTGAATAGCTCTTCTTTGCCATCTACGAGGGATATTTTAACTTCGTTGTCCGGCTTCCAAGCCAACTTGGCCGCTAACTATATCCCCGACGGATCGGTTGGAGCTCGTAAGAAAAATGCGGAGTGGAAGGAAGATCTGATTAGTGATGACACTTCTCAGGACGATTGTGGTGCGAAATCTGCCATTTCGGATCCTAACTATGAAGATGAACCCATGGCAGAAACGGATAATGAGAACCTGGTTGGTTCTGAGATGGATATTGATGACGATTTGTCATCAAACTCATCTTGTCAGCTGGTAGAGCATCGAAGGAAAAGGAAGAAAAATACAAGTTCAAGATCAGCTAGCACAATTTCCACGAAAGAAGGGAGGGGAAAATCACGGGGTATCTTCGGCCAACAGAATCGAGAACAGGAGATACAGAGAGATGCACGGGGTAACGAGCTTGATGAATCTATGGGAGACATGATTGAAGCAGATCAACCGACAGAAAGACCAAGCTCTCCCCTACCGCTGACAAATGATGCGAGAGCTGCGTATATGCTAATGAAGCTACATATGCAAGAAGTTGGATTCAACGGTAGTGAGAAGACCGCTGCATCTACTCTAGATAATGATCAGGCCAGAAAGAGGAGACGAGCTTCAGCATAGGGGTATTGGTGAAACCAAAAAAAAAGCGAAAAACGTGAGCATTTTTGTTGGGGTTTAGAGTCATTGTTTCTAATAGTCTTGTTTCTCCCCTGGTTTAGGGAGGTTTCTTCGAGCTGGCAGACTTTCAATATGATGTGGAAGTTGGGTTGCTGGTGTCAACAGTGAGGATAAATGGTAGGTATCTAGTCAGTCTTTTTTTATTTTGTGTTATTTTCTTACTCCCATTAATATGTACCAATCGAAATTGCTTGTTTGACTTTAGTACTCTTGTTGTTCTTCCACAGCCATGTCCAGTGTAGCAATGGGGAGTGAGACGCTCATGTATAGAGTATATTAAAGATAAAATAGAACAAAATACTTTTTAGCTACCTAAAGTCATTAAGATAACGTTTGATTCGTTGAATAGGGAGGTAAGAAACAAAACGATGGTTCCAGAAGCAAGGAAAGTGAGCAGGGAAATTAATTGAAAAAGAAAGGAAAAATAAAGAGATAGAATTAGACCGAAGAAAAAGGGCAATTGAGACATGGTATACTTCCAAGAGAATGCAGGTATGGGAGGGGGTTTCGCTGGGATGAATTTGCAAGATGAACAATAATAGTAACGTGCTCAACCCCAGAATTAAATAGGAAATTATGGTAAATCGAGTGAACGATGTTGGCGAACATTCAGCGAGGGCACATTTTGACGCTTAGCTATCGGGTTTTTTCTCCATAAGAATAGCTTTTGGGGTATGTAAATTTGCAATACATCAGAAAGACAGACGTTCATGATGATCGTGTGCAATAGTCCCCGGGTCATAAACAAGGACGAAATGGCCTTTGTGAATGCGGAGGTAGCACAGCTCGTATGACATAAGTGATAATTTAGGATTGTGGAATTAGCTCAGGGCTTTTCTCTTCGACCTTCAAATCACTAATAATGTCGTCCTTCGGAGCCTCTGGGAAGTCGGTGTGCTGGACACTCAATTCCGGTACCGGAGCTGCCGTCTTTGTTTCTTGGGTGATCTCCGGATTAGGGGAGGTTTGAGCATGGGTAGATCCAATATATTCATTGGCCTTGGATCGATATTCACCAACGTATTGCTTGACAATATCGGTTGCATGTGCGGTCTGAACCCCAGCCATATCTTTCATTTGAACAGCTTGTGCGTTGACCACCTCTCGCAGCTGACTAACTTGTTCGTCGATAAGTTCTTTGTTGCTAATATAGATCAAGGGACCCAGGTAGGCAATGCACGCGCCTAGGAAGGCTAGACCCCATAGAGGTAGGAATTTGACCAGCCAATAAGATACAAAAGAGGTAACAAAGGCCTAGTTTAGAGTTAGAGTGAGAATTAATATCGAACGGTTCATCGATTGCATACCGTGATTGTGTAGGCGAGATTCTCAGCGAAAAGAATTCTCTGGAATTCAATAAGAAAAAAATCAACAAGTTGTTCAAGGTCTTCCAGCACGCTCTCAACTGTGTCTTTCGGAATTGTGTAATATTTACGGGGGCGAGAAGAGCTAGCTAATCCCCGGGAAAAAAGAACACGCCCGGTAATTTCGGCGGTAGCCGTAACTGGAGAAGATATTTTGTAAGACAACTTAACTTGCTCAGGGTAATTAGGGAGTTGAATGTAACGTACCACCCAATACTAAATAAAGAAGCTTCAAGGCCCAGCTAAGCAAAGGAAGATATCGGCTGGCGATGATAAAGCCGACAACTGAAGCGAACGATGCAGCTGTTGCTCGCGGACGCTCCCACTGTATCGCGTGTGAGAAGATGAACCAAAAAAGAAGCTGGAGGAGGACGGATAAGACGTGAAAGTGGCAGAAGACTCACGCTTAGCAAGCTATATACTAGGGAATGGTAATCTGCAATCAAAACAAAAGGCATTGGTTAGCTCGGAACTCATGAACTAGAAATCAGTAACAGGTCCAGTACGCACGCGTTAAGGGTTGATCCGAGATAGTAGAATTGCCATTCTCAGCCGATTTTGGGGTTCCTATAAAGTTTGCGTCACTATATGAATAGAAGCCGTTAGAAACGTGATCTAAATTGGGAGTCATAGCTTCGGAATAATTCAGGGGCTTTACCAAGTCAGAAATAGTTGTAATGGTATAGGTTTTATAGGTTTTGTTATCAAGACTAAATTCCTATTAGAACCAGGGAAATCCAGACTTCGACATCCGTGTAGAACGGAAAAAGGTGGGGAGGGAAGCTATCAGGCGGTGGCAAGTCCGATCAGTATTTACATCTAATACACGATTGAGGAACTTAGAAGCCATCGTCACTTACCTCACTTCATGAACCATATAGACAAATCAGATGCCCGGTGAAGCTTGAGATTTCGGAGTAGTAAGGATCGGAGATCTGGAGGGTGCAGGGGGGTATACCTGATTGTTGTAGGCTGTCGGAGCCTTTCAGAGCAGTGTTCGCCATAGTCCGAAGCTTGAAGGCTGTTTGGTTAAATAAACGGAAGACAAGAAGAAATCTGGAGTGTGTAGTAGTTCGAGAGAAAGAGAGGTACACGAGAGGATTTCCTGTTGAATCGAAGGGAAGCTGAAGCTGTTGAGGGAGATGACGGAGTATTACAGTGTGTGTTGCGTTGTGTGTTTTGATTTTCCGGTGAACTGAAATAATTAAATAATTTCAAGGAAGCAGCCAAGCATGTGATGCAATCCCGTTTCTGGATTCTCACATGCTCACACCACGTTGATTATTGAACACAGTTATAATAGTTATAATACTGGTGCCTAAAATCTGGATAAAAATAAAATTAATATGAGAGAGATGAAAAATAAGTAAATGAAAAAGAATGAAAATAAAAAAAAAAAAAACAAAAATATGATTCACCCCCGACGAGACTCGAACTCGTAATCCCCACATTAGGAGTGTGATGCCTTACCATTAGGCCACGAGGGCTAAAATCACACAACTTTAATCCCCCGGTATTTCTTGTTCCAATTTGTAGAACATCCCTTAAAAATTTCATGACCATCCGTAGTTTAACAGCAAGACGGAACTCAAATAAACGGAGTACGGAGTAAATTATAGCTATTCTCAAAACATATCTATTAGACTACATGCTCTAAGTACTCTAGATACCAAAAACTACGGAGTATATATATAAATATCGTCTTTTTTGACCCCTCTAGTAACTCCTGGGCAAACCAAGAGCTTTCTCGCTGACAAAATTCATAATCATCTCCTATTCCCAGAAATTCATTAGTTCATGCTGGATTGGGAGATACAAGAGAAACTTACGCGGCTAATGGGGGCAATTCGAGGCACAAAACACTCTCGTAGGTATCTTTCTACGTGGTATTCTTGTGCATAACCCATTCCACCATGAGTGAGAACCTAAGTTGTTAACCAATTAGCCCTTGAACAAGCCAAAAAGAAAAAATAATAGAATACACAGAATCGAACATACCGATCTCTCGCAAGCAGTAAATGCAGCTTCTGCTGCAAGATATTTAGCTGAGTTGCACGCCAAGCCTACAGCTTGCGGTGTGATAGAACGGTCGGTCTTGCTTGCATCATAGAGCTTGGTGGCATGATAGGTGGCGAGTTTGGCAGCTTCTAGATTCATGTAGGCTGCGGCCAGTGGATGAGAGATTCCCTGGTTCTGCCCAATGGGACGACCAAACACAATACGCTCCTTGGAATACTTCGCTGCCTTCTCCAACGCGATATATCCTAGACCAAGGGCTTCTCCAGCGAGAAGACACCGTTCGGCATTCATTCCATGTAGCACCTAAAATTCCGACCAATAGAAGTCAGTATTGTGCGCTCTGGAATAGTCATCAATGTCGTTATGTTGGGAAGAGAAAACCCACAATCTTGAATCCCTCTCCTTCTTTTCCAATCAGTGTATCAGCCGGTATCCTATAGTTGTCGAAGAAAACTTCGTTTGCATCCACACTACGGCCCCCCATCTTCTTGATTTTTCGAAGGTCCAGCCCTGGTGCGCTTTTGTCAAAGTCGATGAAAAATAGAGAGAGCCCCTCCGAGGGCTTTTTCACTTCTTCTATGGGAGTCGTTCGGGCTAAAAGGATCATCTTCTGTGCAATTTGTGCCGAAGATATCCATCTGCGTATCCAGTTGTAAATGATTGCCATTTTTTTTTAAGAAAAAAATCCAAGAAACGGGGAATGCGCATCAAAATCCACCTACATTTTCTGCCCCGAGATCCTGTACGAGTCTCCATCCTTAGTTGCCGATGTTCGAAGCTTCAATGTTTCAAGGCCAGTATTTGGTTCGGTTCTATGCCCAGTTAGTGAATGGAGGTAGATACCGCGTAGGAGCCGCAAGGGGGAAACTGGACAATACATACACTCCGAAGCAAGTTCTCCATTCACCCGCGATTAGACGAGGCAACATCTTTTTACGCTGCTCTTCGGAGGCAAATTTTGCGACAGGCTATAATAAATCTTGCAATTAATTTGATTCCGTGACCTCAATATTGATTTGATGGCTGGAATTTACCTGCGTGGCATAGACATTTGCATGTATAGACTGGGCTCCGGCGAGACCAGCTCCACTCCTGTTCAACAGGTGATTAGCAATTCGTGTCTGATAAGCAATTGGGTTGGCGAAGCCTTACTGAGCGATAGTTTGCAACATCATTGTAGCTTCAGAGATTCCCAATCCAGCCCCTCCAAGTTCTTCTGGAAGCGCAATTCCGATCCATCCATCTTTCGACAAAGCCGCATGTAATTCGTGGGGGTACTGTTCTGTTTCATCTCGTTCCGCCCAATATTCCTATATCATCAATGCCTGGAATTAGCACACGAGAATACCAATCACGGAACCAGCTGACCGAGGCAACGTACGTCAGGAAAATTCGAGCAGATTTTATTTATGGCGTCGCGGACCATGAGTTGCTCGGGGGAAAACCCGTTCAAATCCATGATCCTGTTGGGCGAGGAGACCGAAAACATGCGCCGGGTAGATAGCGAGATGGGAATTGCAGGCTGGGAGAATCGTGACTGGAGCCCATTTTTGGTTATTTGGTTCAATCCGTGCCTTATGGTGGCCTTGAATGTGGTATTGCCCTGGGCTTGAAGCCGAGAAGACGCTGATGCGATTGAATGGGCAATAGGCCGGGCAGTCATTATCATGGTTGCCTTTAATAATGAGTCCCTTTTCTAACGAGATTAAATTGTAATACTAAAAGCAAATTCTCTGGAGGGAACTCTCTCACGAGCTAGCAGATCGATGGGATATGAATTGTGATTTTATGCTATATATGTGGGGTAGTAGAGTAATATATATTTGGCATGTTTTCCGAGAACACCACCGGAAGGCATCCCAGAGGGAAGAAAATCTTCGAGATCGAGATGGTAAAAAAAAAAACTCCCGAGAATGGGAACGCACGAATCAGGTGCATCGGTAGCCGGTGGCGCCGTATTTTGATGGAGATGTACCGAGAACAAGAGCTTGTAGAGTTAAGTTCGTCCGGGGTGAGCTGTGTGCCTGGAAGTAGCTTCGGTCTACTTCCAAGCTTCGGAGCTTCGCCGGCATAGAAACACACCGAAAGATAGAATTCGCATATATACGGGGATGAGTCCGATAAATAGTTTGAACTTCCTAGCTATAATGCCATTGCACGGCGTATTTCTTCCCCAAAGCTCGAACAAACCAGGTTTGACGATCGCGTCGCGTTTCTCAACCAACTTGAATGTGGGGAAACGACGAAACGGAAATACCGAGGAACTAAATTACACCTTCAATAGGCTGACTAAGTGCCACGTGATGTTATCGCATGGCTTAGTAACACACCCCGCCACCCTGCCGCCCGCTAACTGTAACGGGCCTAGGGCAAATCTTGGCGCGCGACACCCCCTGATCGTCCCTTCTGGGCGAAAGGCGACAGGTTCGTGAGCAAGTTGCTGCCCTCTTCTCTCCTCTCCTCTCCCTGTATTAGCATCTGAAGCCATGAAGCTTTCTATGCTATCAGTCACGCTCCTTTGGTTCTAGGACTGCGATTGCCGCGGGCGACGGCTTGCATTCCCCTCGTTCTTTTACCATCTTTTCGGGCTTAGTTTGTTGTTGCTACAACTGTATAACTTTGGTATAATATCGAATTGCCACACCACTATTCAACCTTATCGCGTGCGGCTTCATGGGCCCTCTTTCATACAAGCGTATCCAATTCAAATTAGTCGGCTAGCCAGTCATTTTTCTTACAAACAAACGCGGAATTTCAATACTTCGTCTTCATGGATGCAGCAGATACGACCGAAAAGCGGCCATGTTCCCAAGCAACATGCGGGGACCACGATCCCTTACCCAGAGACTCAATGGTCTCCGTACCGCTATCTGATCGCCATGCCAGTTCCAGCTCGTCAGCAGAAGGCCCAATCTTGACCGATGCTGTCTTTACACCCCCGGTTGAAGATGCTGGAGGTTCGGAACCTGGTCGAGTCGAGTCTCCCTTGACAATTGAATCGGACTCCAGGCACGGAACCATGTCTAGTTTGTCGTCTAAGTTATCGCAATGTGAAGGTGAAATCAAGATGACTGAAGTAGATGATGATCATTTAGTCGACTGGGCTGGCTTAGAACAGACAGAGGAGCAAGAATCGCAAGCAAGAAAGGATGTGGTACGCTCTCCTTTTGTTGTCATGTCCAATTTTCTATGTTGAGGTTAAAGCTAATCATGTGCGCAAATACATTTAGTCAACAACATTACTCCTTGCAAGATTGGAGCAAGAGAATAATGCATTAGCAACGGACCCGAAATCGGCTGTGACTAAAAATGCATCTGCTCACACCATCTCCAGGCCTCCCTCCATCCAACAGTTGAAGGACCTTGTTAATGACTCAAAGTTGTCTCTTCGATACTCCCAGCTACCGGCTCCTAAGATGACCGAGCTTGAATTCTGGGCTGCGCTTGTCGCTGATTACCCTCGAACCGCCCAAAAGCTTCCAACGTTGACTTCGCATAAAATTCGGGGAGGAGTGCCCCCGCCACTTCGGGGTGTTGTGTGGCCCAGCATTGCAGGTGCCAGAGATCCTCAGCTCCATGAACAGTTTGGAAAGCTATGTAGTGAAACAAGCCCATACGAAGGACTGATTGGCAAGGACGTCGGACGAAGCTTCCCCAATGTGGAGATGTTTCGGGATTCTCAGGGCGAAGGGCAGAAAATGCTAGGCCAAGTGTTGAAGTGCTTCAGTCTCTACGATAGCAAAATTGGATACTGTCAAGGGCTTGGATTCGTTGTAGGCCCCCTGTTGATGCACATGACTGAAGCCGAAGCCTTCTGTGTTTTAGTCAGGTTAGACTCGAAGACACCTCTCTATCATTTTAAAAACTAATCATTCTTCACAGGTTAATGGAGCACTATGATCTCAGATCATGCTTTCTACCTACGCTTGCCGGTTTACATCTCCGTATCTTTCAATTCCAATCAATTCTCTCCAGTCATTTGCCAGAGCTTCATGCCCACCTCGACGAGCTTAAAATTGAGCCTGTCTATATATCCCAGTGGTTTCTATCATTCTTTGGCGTTACCTGTCCTCTTCCATTGCTACTTCGTATATATGATGTTCTCCTCTTGGAAGGAGCATGTGAAACGCTAATGCGTGTAGCTCTTTCGCTCATGCAACGAAATCAAAAGAAGATCCTAGCCTGCCATGAATTTGAGGATGTGATGCAACTATTACTATCTCGGAGTTTATGGGACCCGTAAGTGTTTGCTCCCTTGTTGTCGTTGACTCGGTCTAACCAGTTCCTAATAATTGGTTATACTCAGGTATGCTTGTAATGCCGACGATCTTGTCGCCGATTTCGTATCTCTCACATCGCTAGTGACGCGAGAAAGCTTGCAAGCCCTTGAGAGCAAGTATCAAGAATCGCAGGGCAATGCCCAAAATGTGTCTATTCCTCAACTCCAGGCAATTGCCTCACGGTTTTT